AGTTATCTAAATAGATATTGGAAATCGATGTGATAAAAACTAAATAACTCATATAAGAACATAATAGTTATTAGTAGACTACGGATATTTATGCAAAATACTTAACTGAATATTAACCATCGGACAGTTTTAGCAGTCGATCGTTGGTCGTTAAAGAGTAAAGTGGTTATTAAAAAGTAAAGTAAAAAGGTTGAGATTGCCATCTGTAAATGTGCAATTTATGCAAAATGTTGCATTTTATGCAAAATATTCAGTTAAGTATTTTGCATAAATATCCGTAGTCTAGTTATAGAAGTTTGGTGATTTGCTTCAAAAGCTCCAACATTTGAACTTTGAAGCTTTGAAGATTTGAAGCTTTGGCATTAAAATCTTCGAAGATCAAAGGTTCAAAGCGTCGAACTTTGGAAACTTCGATACTTCGATACTTCAATCTTCGAACTTCGAAGAATCAAAATTATACAAGTATTAATTTAATGCGGCTAATAATAATAAATATATATTTTTTTAAAAGATATACAAATATATTTATAAATATACATATATTGTAAATACATTTTCATTTTTTTATTTCCATAAATATATTTTTCAAAATTTCGAAGGAACTTTAAACTTTGTAAAAATTTTTTAATATTGAAGATTAAAATCTTTTTAAAATTTCGAATCTTTGAAGTTGTCAAAAGTAAAATAATTCTAATAATTCTTTATTTTAATAAATAACAACAATTTTTTTTAAATAATTTTCTGATATTAATATTAATTGACTTTTAATTATAATTTATATTTTTTAATTCAAAATAGTGATTCAAATTTTTAATCAATTATTTTAGGAAAACATACATACCTTTACATATACAGCGGTTACCATCCTCCTAGTATTGAAAAATCGCGATGTAGCGTAAATCATCCTTATAGCATACATAAGCGCGGGTAAGTAATCTCCTATTTTTGTTGGATCTAATCTGTACAACGGTTGTGTAAATTTTTCCAACCCATACAGATATTTTACGTTATCTTGAGATAAAATATGCACCATTGTAACATGATCTTCTAATTCCTTCCATTTCTATATATATAACATACAGCAATATTCAATTCAATACATATTATAAATTAATAATTGCATTCAAATTATACCTTGATAAGTTTTGATTTCGCTTCCGTCAGCAATTGTATAAATGCTTGCGTGTAATTGGACTTTATGTGATTCATTATCGAATAAAATTGACTAAACAATCGCCGCCAATATGCAAGTTCTGCATTTGGTCCTACAGTTTCAGTTTCCCTGCGCAATTGTTGACTTTCAACAATAGCCTAGAAAATCGCTTTAAAATTATGAAATTTTATTAAGAGATATATAATTAGTCAAAGTCATACCCGTTCCATCAATTTCATCCATATTCGGACATCAGCTTCTACTGCTGTAATAACGTCCGGATTACGAATGCTCTCTCTAAAATTTTCAGGTAGCAACAAATATTTCTGGTACAAATCCCAATTAATTTGGAAGCATATGACATTTTTTAAATCTATCTTCGTCACTATGAGAAAAAAAAAAAGTATTATCTTCCATCAGAGAAGGATTTATATGATAATTAAATTAGGGTTTATTTTTGATAATTTCGAAAAAGAATTTACATTTTGGAAATTAATTCCGAACCTTTTAAAAATGAAGATGCTTAGAAATTTCAAAAATTTCGAAGCAGGTAGTTTTAAAGCACTTCAAATTTTAAAAGTTTAGGGTTAACTTCGAAAATTTGAATTTTTTCAAAGCTTTAAATTTTCGAAATTGTAACAGTCTTAGAACAATACATATCGTAAGTTATTTACTATTAAGAAATTCGCAGAAATCTTTAAAATCGCCTATAAAATCATCCTTTATCTTTTCTCCAACTTCGCTTTTTGACAATTCTCCCCATTGCGTATTAGCAGTTAACGTTCGTGCATGCAAACGTGAAATTAAATCAGATATTCCTGCCAGCGCACTTTGCGATGTAGGATCCACCTCCGCATATGCATAATATGTTTCCTATATGGGACGTAAAATCAAAAGCAGTAAAAAAAATTTAGAGAAAAAAGAACAAAGAAAATGGAAAAATATATAAACTGCAAATTTCAAAAATAAATATATTTTATAATATGTATCTTATAAACGCAAAAGTAAATTAACATTCTTGTAATATGTTATGAGTATGTATTCCAGAAAATGTGCAAATCTCAAAATGATTCAAGATGGCTTTCATAGAAAAAAGTCACAGTAAATCACAATAAAGTCGTAGTGCGAATGTTTGCTTTATCACATTTGTGATAATACTATAACATCATTATGTAATTGTGATAAAAGCTGCATCTTGTAATACTATTATGAAAAATACAGATCAGAATAATGTGATCTCACTTTTTACTTTTTGATAATCTCGTAGTGACATCAGAATTTATCATAATTTGACAATTGTAAGTGTATTATGATGTGAATGTGATTCTTTTGCTATAAATGGATGCTTTGTATTAACTTACATCAAGTAACTGTTTAATTCCAAATTCCAAATTTGATTTTAATCGATAAACTATAACGCATTTGCCTGAGAATTCTTCAGTAGTACCATCTGTTATGCAACAGCGTATAACTTGCTGTTCTTTACTAAGTTGCGGCGTCCATCGCCCGGATTCTGAGATTATGTAAATTCTACGTATAGTATCACGATGTAGCATGAAAATGTATTGTTGACGTAATCACCATCGTTAACGTTATATTAAAATTGCGCATGGAAAAAAAAGGAGCAGGAAAATATCCATCGTTATACCAAATGTCGGAGGACTCATAGGCTGAAGATATACAACAATGGCTTGTCTTCCACCTTCAGTGAAGAAACTGCTAAATACATTCACGTATTCGTCCTTGTCGAGAATTCCTTCTTCTAGGACCTCAGAGTCTGTATTTAAAATATATGCCACAATGTCCATGACATGTCGATGAGAAATCTTTAGTAATCCTTCCCTGGCATTGCGATTTTCCTTGAATTTTGTCTAAAAAGAAATTTAAAAGATAAAAAGACCCACTGAGCAAATTTCTTTTTAATTATATAACATTATTAAAGAAAAAGTACAGATTATTTTTTACATTTTTATTTAAGTATTATGTGTATAATAATTATGTAAATATTGTATTCATGTAAATATCATCTCCTATTCTCTTAATTTTTTAATCTTTTAATAAGCTAATCCTTTTTTTGTAAACTTGAAGTAGCAAAAATAATTCTGAGATATTTCTAATTGTTTCTTTTTACTCGATTACATTAAAATTCTTTTGTAAAAAGTAATAATTGATATATTAAATATCAGGATTATCCGTAAAAGTATTATAGATTCGTAAAGGTATTTACAAGTCGCTCTTTTGTACTCTCCGTGGGTAAATCTTCCCTTGCACCAATCCTTCTCTTTACTAACTCGGCAATTCGTTGGTCAATAGCTGGTTTCGTGTAATCTCGCGATGTGGGATTTGCCATTGTTGCAAAAAGAAATAATCATGAATGTTAACGTATTAATAAAAGACCTTAAACTAGGTATATATAACTACACAACTACGAATATGATGCGCTTAATTCTGACAATTCCTCTTCAGTCAGAAATTATGCGTATAAAGCAGGACGGATATAAATAAATGAACATCGTAGAGTATTTTTTCAGAAAAAGTTATTAAAATATTGTAAACATAATTTATCCATAGACATAAAATAGAATAGACTGAACTCTATCAATTTCATTGCATGTTTTCTTTATTCTAAGCAAACGTATATATGAGGTATTTTTTAAGAGATATAAAATATAAAATATTTTATTGATAAAATTGATAAGAAAATACATTGCATAACTAAAAAAAAATAAGATATTGAAAAATAAATGTCGGAAATAGGGAAGATACAGATTTTAAGAAACTATTAATTCATATATATTATATTTATATTATATACAATAGATATTACATGTATTCTTAATATTATTAATAATAATTATTATTATTTTAATATTAGATGATATTTTAATATTAGATTT